CAAAAACCGAGGACAACAAGCAAACACAAACCAACAAGAACAACACGCCACACCAAGCAACAACACGCTACACCAAATAGCAACCAAATGATAACCAGCAACCAACAAAAAAGCAAACGACACCAGCGACAACAACAACACGCAAACAGCCAACGTTCGAACAACAATATAACTGCAAATAACATCCACAACCACGACAACCTCAACGACAACAGCAATACCAAGAACGACAGCAACAACACCCAACAACAAACAACAACAAGCAACGACAAACAACAACATGCAACAAACACCAGCAACAAGCACCAACAGCCAACAACAACCAACAACGATCAACAACAATCAACAAAACCAACCGCAAACGACAACAGCAAGAAAACACAAGAAGCAACAACAAGCAAGAAGAAGATACCGCAGACAAAGACAAGCACGTCAAACTTAACAACAACAAAAAAGCAACACCAACACCAACAACACCAACACCAACAACAACCAGCAACCAACAACCATCAACAACCAACAACAATCAGCAAAGCCAACTGCAAACGACAACGGCAAGAAAACAAGAAGCAACAATAAGAAACCGCAAGCAAATACTAGCACGTCAAAAACAACAGCAACAATAGCAACACCGAAAACACCAACAACATTAACAACCCTAGCCCCAAGCCCAACCCCAACACCAACACCACCAACAACAAAAACCAACCAACAACCAACAACCCACAAGCCAGCAACCTTAAACAGCCAAGGCGGCATGACAAGCAGAACCGGCGACAACAACGGTAAATACGACAAAAACAGCTGCAACAACAGCAGCTGCACAAAATCATCAACAACAACAACAACAACAACAACGACGACGACAACAACAACAACAACAGCAGCAGCAACAACAACAACAACAACAAGGCCACCGGCTGTCCAGCCGCCCTCGCAGGGGTTGTCTGCTGAAATGAGGTGACTTCAGTGCAGTCATGCAAAAGCCCTGCGTTTCTTGCGTTTCCGAAAACTAACTCGTTGTTTTCAAGAGTGTGAAAATGATGGCCGGGCTCAAAAAATATTCTCCCATCGCGTTTTCGCTTCAGCTAAACGCTTGGTTTTTCAAGGGTCCAAAACGAAAAGTCGGCTTCAACACCGTTAAAGGGCAACAACGCGGTTTTCAACACTAGCTCCAGAAATCTCACCAACCGCAACCACAACCCACAACCCACAACCCACAACAAACCAAAAACAACCAAGAACCAAAAACAAAAAAGCAACAGCCGACAACCTGGATCATTGATCGCTCGATTGTTTGTGACAGGCAGTCTCGGGGCAGTTAAGCGACGTGCGCGTGGGCGGGTGCGCTTACCATTTACCAGGCATGCGTGCTTTTGAGCGACGTGCGCGTGGCGGGTGTGCTTGCCATGCGCCAGGCATGCGACTCGCGCATGGGCGGGTGTGCTTACCATGTGCCAGGCATGCGTGCATTCGCGCGACGTGCGCGTGGGCGGGTGCGCTTATCACGTGCCAGGCATGCGTGCATTTGAGCGACACGTGCGCGGCGGGTTTTCTTACCATGTGCCAGGCATGCGTGCGTTGAGAGACGCGTGCGTGGGCGGCAGGCACGCGTGCGTCTGAGCGACACGCGCGTGGGCGGGTGTGCTTACCATGCGCCAAGCGTGCGTGCATTGGAGCGATGGGTGGGTGTGCCTATCACGTGCCAGGCATGTTTGAGCCACGCGTGACTGGGCAGGTATGCTTACCATGTGCGAGGCGTGCGTGCATTTGAGCGACGCGTGCGTGGGTGGGTATGCTTACCATGTGCCGCACGCGTGCGTTTGAGCGGGTGTCGTTATCACGTGCCAGGCGTGCGTGCATTTGAGCGACATGCGTTATCTAACAATCTGACATCAAAAGTGACACGGGATGTGCGAAAAGGCGGCTTCACGAACCAAACGCGGAACTGCGATGTTGGTCCTGCGTGGCAGGCGTGGGACATTGCAAACAGTGCGACATCAAAAGTGACGCGCCTGCTGGGGGCGCGCGCTTCGCAGGAATAAAAAACGAGAATCACGCGTCGCCTGCCCGCATCCGCACCCTATTTTTGCACCGCCCCCTTGCTGGAAGCAGCATCCATTCCAGAATCAACTACATCCGCTGGTGGCAGCCCAGCTTGGATATGTGATTGTTCTTCCCGCTCAAGGCTTTGAAGCTGCCAGCTGCGAATGCACCGAGCCACTTTCTTGAGTGGCCCCCCTTTTCGAAAAGTGGGTTGACATAGGGATCAGGACCTGGCGTCAACAACTTTTGCAATTGGCCAAAAACTGCGAGATTCACGCGGGCGCCCGCTGGAGCCCTTGTGCAGCACCGCGCTTGAAGTCAAAAGGCCCGAAGATAGAAACACTGGGAGGCAGCACGTTGTCATTTCTGAACAACAACAACTGCACACTGGCCGGCAGAATGATGCTTTCATCTGAAACACAAGAACGACCGATTTTGCCTCAAAACCAGCCTAACGCACAGACGTCGTCATTTCCACGTCAACCTCGGACCGACGGCACCGAAAACCACCACCAGCAACCAACGGTTGCAACAACAATCAACAATCAACGACAACCGCCCATGACAACAATACCCACACAACAAACAGCAAGAACAACACCAAACAAACCACCTAAAAATAAGCAAGCAAGCAAGCAAGCAAGCAAGCAAGCAAGCAGGCAAGCAGGCAGGCAAGCAAGCAAGCAAGCAAGCAAGCAAGCAAGCAAGCAACCCGGCAAGCAAACAAACAAACAAACCAACTAACAAGCACAAGCAAAACGCAAAGGCGACGACAACAACAACAACAACAACAGCAGCAGCAACAACAACTGCAACCGCTAACGCAAACACAAACACAACCTCAATCGCAACAGCAACAGCAGCTACGACAACAAGCGCAACAAACACGCCGCAATCGCGACGCCTACCACAACCACCACAACCGCAACAACAACAACAACAACAACAACAACAACAACAACAACAACAAAAACCACTAACAGCAACAGCATCAAGACAAACGATCACGGCAACAGCAGCAGCAACAGCAGCAGCAGCAGGAGCAGCGGCAACAGCAAGAGCAACGGCAACACCAACAGCAACAGCAACAAGAACAGCCGCAGCGACGAGAACGAGAAAAACGACAACAACAACGGCCGCGGCAGCAGCTGCAAGCGGCCGCGGCAAGCAGCAGCTGCAAACAGCAGCGAATAGCAAAGGAGCGCCTTGTAACGGCGACATGTCGCCTTAACTACAGGCTCCGGCTGCGGGCCGGCCTCGCTGCGCATTCATGTTGTAAGTTGCTGCGTAAGACCACCGCCCGCGTGTCGCTACGCAACAACAACAATGGCCAAAGCCGAGGTCAGGGAGCAAGCTACAACTCAATGCGGAACGCCGCATTGTTTTATTGTTTTGAAAGCCTGTGGCTCTGCGAGAACTGCCGATCACTTGCCCTATTCTGGATAGACTAGTGCAGCCTCACCTGTCTGACACAAGGAGTGCGAAAAACGGTTTTTCATCTTTGGCTAATGAGAACTTTAAGAACAGCTCGCTAACTCCACCGCTCTAGCTGGGCAGACGCGCCAGCTGGGCAAGCCCGCGTCTCTGTAGGAAGTTCTATGGGGGGCCAAAGTGGGTTCTGAAGGGCTTGCGGGCGCAGACCTGCGAGACAAACACAAGGGCTTAACGCATTTGCCCCAAATCAACTTGATTGGCAAATGGTGTTCGCAACGAAGCTTGTGAAACGCACAGCTTGCGCAATGCGCGCGCCGGCGGCATGGCCTGGACAACGAGCTCGCCACAGGCTTCGTTTGTGGCTGCTTAGCTCGCCCTCACCGTGGCAGCAAGCGCCGCAGTCAGCGCATGCCAGCCAGCACTTTCGCAAGGTCAAGTGCAGATTTCGTGACAGGCGCATTACTTTCGCAAGGCCAAGTACAGCTTTCGTGGCAGGCGCAGTACTTTCGCAAGGTCAAGGAAAGATTTCGTTGCAGGCGCAGCTCTCTCGCAAGGTCAAGTACAGATTCAATGGCAGGCGCAGCACTTTCGCAAGGTCAAGTGCAGATTCGGTGGCAGGCACAGCGCTTTCGCAAGGTCAAGTAAAGATTTCTTGGCAGGCGCAGCTCTTTGCGCGGCAGTTGCACAAGGTCAAGTACCGATTTCGTGTCAGGCGCAGCACTTTCGCAAGGTCAAGTACAGATTTGGTGGCAGGCGCAGTACAGATTTCGCGGCAAGCGTAGCACTTTTGCAAGGTCAACTAGAGATAGACAGATAGATGGAGAGAGATAGCTAGATAGATAGATAGATACATAGATAGATAGAGAAATAAAAGCCAAATAAATGGATACAGATAGACAGATAGATAGATATAGAGAGATAGGAACATAGGTAGATAGATAGACATACAGACAGATAGATACATAGAAAGAAAAAACATAGATAGATTGCAGAAAAGGGGTTGTTGGGTCTTCCTGCGTAACTCTGTCGTCTGCCCGTGGACAGAATGAGACGCGGCTGAAATGTTGGATAGTGGAGGGGGCCCATTTCTGCCGCCCTGCGCAACGACTTGTGTGTAGACAGTGGCACGACTGCAAAGATCCTACTCCAGCTACAAAGTAGGTTACCCACCTTCGCCCTTCAACTACTTCCTGAACTTGGGCTTCGCGTTTGCTGAAACATTGCGAGGATGCGCCACACAAAGCCAACCTGGCACTTTTGCCCCCCTGTCTCGAACTGGCGCAAGCGCGTGCTAACAGGGTACGATAGCGCAGCTACGGGGACAATACGGTCCTCAACCTTCTCCAACCATTGGTCGGAAAGCCATGGCCGGAAAAGATTTCACACCGCCCGGATTTGGGTTTCGACCAATTTCAGCGAAACATGTTAAATGGCATTCACAGCGTCGGTTCAGCCAATCGCCTTCACCACCTCCACGTGGCCGTTCCTTGCAGCCAGCTGCACTGGCGTCTCCCCGCGGCCTCGCAGATGGGAGTGGATGTCTCAGTGTGGACTAGTCTGGACACTGAGGTGTGAAATGGCAGCTGGTCGCATGGTCTGGTGTTCCTACCTCGGTCTGCAACCCTGCAGCCGTTTGGGCCCTCTTGTAGTCTCAACCACCTAAATCGTTGCCCTACGTCCCATGGTTGGTGTTCCTACCTTGTTTAGTTCTTCCGCGTACCAGGCGCTCGCTCGTCAGCTTGCCAGTACGCTATGGGCCTCTGGCTGCGAACTCTCGTCTGTCAGTTGCTTGTCACAGGCTGTCGCAGCTGTCTGTGACAGGCGGTGTCAGTGGGCGAGAAACCATGTAACTATCGGTGCGGGTCGATCCAGGGTCGTTCGATGTAATACAAATAGAAAGCGCAAAATCATTCATATTGCAAGTGAGGCTCGGGAAACAAATGACAAGGATAACTTCTGCTGAGGTTGAACGGTATGAGTCGCAATAAGGATGATTGTGTTCTTAGCATGATAGCACAAAGCTTACGAACATAACGCTCCAACTCTTTGCGATTAAGAAGCGCGGTAGGTGTCAAAATATGAAGCAAGCAAGGCGCAAGCGTCAGATCGCTCTGGCCTCTGGCTGTAAAAAACCGCGCATCCTCATCTGTTGAATTGTAAAAGCGCACGCGCAACACATGCTCATAAAGATATTTCTTAAAGTAACGCAGCCAATTCGGCCGAGGTCGGCCGCACTTCTTCTTGCCATACTGTATTCTGTCGACAGTGTCTGGTTCAAAGCAGAATTTGACGAAGAGTGCGTGACGGCCCATTGTGTAGGACCTATCCCACAAATGTTGGTGACATTCTGCGGATGCTGAAAGCAATCCATACCAAACTTGTGGATAAGTTCCACTCTGGCCAGCGTCTGATTCCCCTGCATCCTCCCTGAGTCAGCACGATGGCGGTATAGCCGGCCTGAACGAAGAATTGCTGGATGATGGGACTGGTTAAGTTGTTCCATCTGCTGCTTGCGAGCATAGTACGTGTCCAGGGTTCTTGCGGGTCATACCCAACATGACGGATTCTGGCAGGCTGCCCTTCTTCTTGTTTCCCGGAAATACTGGCTGTCGTTCGAGGTTCGAGGTTCAAGGTGAGGATGCTACTGAGTCGGGTCGTGGATGTCTGGGTCACTTCCACTGCATCATCGGTTCCTGTTTTCTTCTTATTCGTTGATTGAAGAACATGTTGCAGAATCTCCAACTAAACCTTTCGTTTCTTGTTCAGTTGGTTTTCAGCCGGTTGGTGAAGAATGGCCTTCTGCCTATACCCATCCTGAACTACAATTTGTTCTTGTGGTCTATGTGGACGACTTTAAGATGGCTGTTCCAAAGAACGTCGTTGTCATATGAGCAAAGCTGCGCCCATACTCCGAGAACGCGTATCCGTAAGTACTTCTGCGCGTGGGCACCAGCATCACAGGATGCGTGGGGCCGTGATATGCGCAACAGCAACTTTTCCGGATCCGTCACACGCGCCTCACAGACCGCGAAAAAATTGCGATAGCACAAGCTGTGCCCTGTTTGCGCAGGACGCGCTTCATTGCTGGCTGCTGGGTAACAGCTAAGCATGTTGTTGATGATCTCACCCAGTGCGACACGCGCGCGCCTACAACACATGCATGAACTTGGCATGTGTGTGTGTGACTGCATGCATATGTGTCTCTCCAGAAGTTTGTGTATACTCATACACATAGCGGGTTCTATTTGGTTGAAAACGGCTTGAGCTTTCCTACTGCGTTTGATGGGTGGCCGGTTCCCGCGCGCCGGCAAATCCGGGAAGATGTGCGAACAATAGGTACCAAGACTGATCAATAACAACCCAAACGTAAAACGACTCAGAAGTTTTACCGGGTGTTGTGCTTCTTGCTCTCTCGGGGTTATTATTGTTTCTTGGCTGCCCATAACAATGATCGGCGACGCTTAGTTTCGGAGTTACTGTCAGAAGGAAGCATTAAAAACAAAAACATGAGGTGTTCGGTTGTTGGTAGGATAGCGCCCCAAAACGAGCAACTGCGGACAACAAACAAGGAGAGCTGGGCAACCCAAAGCCAAGCAGTTGACATAACAAGCTCCACCAAACGGCTGGCAGCCTGGGTCAGCTCCAACTTCGGCACCGCCACCTACAGCGAGACCACGAACAGCCTGAGCGTCGCCTACGACGGCAACCGGCTGATTCTGAACGACCTCGAGCTGCGCCCTCAGGGCAAAACCGTAAGGAGTGTCCCCAAGGTTCCCTCCCAAACTCTCGGGCCGGCAATCGACGCTGGGAATATCTTGCATCAGGGCACGCGGCCCTCCGTCACCTCCGCTCATTTCTGGCCAGACCGACATCTCTGCCTGCGACGTCTCGCAAAGGTCTCGCAGATGTCTGCCTCTGCACAGCTTTCGCACAGGGCGTTTCACGCTGGCACGGCGCTCTGCCACCTTTGGCGCCGAAAGCAAAAACTGAGAGAGGTTTCACAAAACTTTCGCACAACTTGTTTGCGCGGCGCGGGCAGATTTGTTCTTCTTTCTTTCGGCTTAAACTAGCATGGGTGGCGGCGCTTCCTGCTCTTGGAACCAAAGTAAGAAGAGTGACCTTCCTGCCATGGAATCACACGAGCAAAAAAACTCGAGAACGCCAAGAGAACACTCAAAAGGACAATTTGGCAGCTGTGACAAAGTCTGCGAAAAACAGAAGTGACAGACCTTGTGACAGACAGCTGCGACAGAGCCTGACAGGCAGATGTGACGAACAGCTGTGACAGAGCTGGTGAAGCTGCACAGGCGCCCGGAGTAATCTCAGCTTTGGAGGGCACACGCGCAGGAACAAAAACGCGTGTAGCCGCTGACGCTATGCTGAGCCACCAGGTTCGCGGTGAAACAAATTAAGCACTGAGGCTTTTTTGGCTTTGGCAGCCTCGGACCTGCGCGTTAGGTGTACTTCATGTAGTTGGGTCTTGCGCAATTTGCTGCGTCCTTGCAACAGCTTGCCTTGTCTTTCGGAGAACCCGAGTGCCCCAGACCCAAGCTGGAGGCCTGTCTTCGGTAACAGCTACGGCTGTTATGAAGCCATTTGGTTTGCACTCAGTTTCTTTGCCGTCGCGTCAGCCAGCAGCGAACACAGGCAGATTGACTTTTGGGCGCCTGTGTGTTTGCAAACTGGCCTAGCCAATCAAATCTCTTCGGCGGGCGTTGTTCGATAAAATGCTTGTGTGTTTGCAAAGAGTGTTGTCTCCTTGGTTTTGCTCAGTTGTTTGTTATTTCCCTTCAAAAACAGAAACCTCGGGTTGTTGGCCTTTCCTGCTGGCACTCGTGAAAAACCTAAACATAGTGAGTGTTGGTTGTCGCGGGCAAGTTCCTTCCAACAAAGCCAGCAAAACTTGGTGTTGTGCGGCGTTTGTCTTGATAACACCCGCCAACAAGCAACGGGGACTTTGACGCAAACATCTTTGGAATTCACTAAGCATTCTCATAATTGTAGAATCGAAATAGATGTTCACCTTCAAATCAGAAATCCTCACCTTGCATGGAAAGCTTGATTCAGGCTGCTACACAGCTGCTTGCACGGCTCCTTATAAAGCTCCTTATAACACTCTGAAAAAATCCATTGTAAAGTTGCTTGTAAGACTCCCGGGAATTTCCCTTCTAGCTGTTGTTTTACGGCGCCTTCATCACAGGCTCCTTGCGCCGCTCCTTCCCCAGCTGCTTGCGCAGCCCCTTTCAAGCTCACTTGCTCACAAGACTCTTTGAACAAGCTTGTGCACTTCCTTATGCAGAAGGCTCCTTTTCAAGATGCTTGCAAAGCTCCTTGTAAGGCTCATCATATGGCCCCTTGCTCATAAACATCTCCTGAACAAGCTGCTTCGAAGGCCCCTGAAAGGATCCTGCTGCTACATTGGGTAGTAATTAAGGTTGTCTTTGCATGTACACAGGACTTGGTACGGAAAGATCATGTTGGGCAATAGCAAAGGTTTAACTAGAATTCCAACAGGACTTCGTACGGAAAGAATTCAACTTTGGATTGCTTACTTTGAATGAGAATTGTAAGGTTGAATTATCTAATGTCAAATGCACATAGGGTGCAGGACGCAAATCATTTCACTAGGCTTTCGGCCTTCAAGTAGGGTTTACACACAAATAACCGTTTCTTTCCCACGCACTGAACTTAACAAGGCAAGAGTTCACCTTCCTTTCTGGTGCTATTGATTGCTTCGTGGCGAAACCGTGCAAAATTAAACGTCATAAAACAATCTGCAACCCACGCCCCTGCCCCAAAATCGTTGGTTCTAAGGTAGGGTATTCCCAGGTTTCTTCCAGGGCGGGGTTCATTTTCAACAAGCAAACAACGGGGTTCAAAACACAGGTGTTGGTTCGATGGGGTTTTCCTGAAATGTCTAAACATGTTTTACACATGTGTTCAATGTTCATGTTAAGACCATGTTTGTTCTTTCCGGGGGCATCTTTTGGGGTGTGTTTAGGGACACCCAGTGTTTGAAAGCATGTGTGTAGCACACCGGTCATTGCCCCCAAGGGCGGTTTTGACCAAGCAACACCCATTCTTTGCGAGCAACAATCCACGCTGTTCCAAGGGAAGATTTTTACAAAACAACACCCATTGATTGAAAGCATCTTTGTGGCGCAATGGTCACAAAACAACACCCACTGTTTGCAGGCACCTTTTGCCGCGCCTCAACTCCAAACCCGCATTTCAATGTTGAACCCAACCCGACAAAACCCAAACCTGCAACACGAACCCACTCCCAAATACACTTAAAGAGAAACACACGGTATTGTGTTAGAGTATTTGGCAGGGGGGTCCGAGGCAGGTTACATTGTAGATTCTGTCATACCCAACACCGAAGCAACCGTGAAAACAGGGCAGAACACAAAACCACCAAAAAACTGATTGTAAACAACAAGGGATAGTAGCGTAATACAGACAAGCCATTGGCGACACCATTAACAAAACATCTCAAGCAAGTAACAAAAACACACAA